TGACGGTGAATTTTTACATGTACGACGTCGACACCCCCTGGAACGCGGACTCCTCGGCTCTTTAGTACTTTCGCTCCGGCACAATCGGTACGCGAAAACGAAATGATTATTTCGTAAATAATAGCTGCTTGGCCGGAGGAGTAAATTAAAACAGCGCCCGCGTAAATACGTAAGTCAGAAGTCGTTAATATATCACAGTTTAAGAGGCGTACCGAAGAATGCGTCGCGGTTACGGTAGCCGTTGGCGTTTTCGTGAGCTGAACGGGGATGAAAGTTAATGGGGTTTCCATAGCGTAGCGCTGGCCAACGTAATTCGCTCGATTGAACGAGGAATGGATGACGGGGACTGAAAAGATATACAGATTCCGGCCGCACTTGGACTATCTTAGCCAGCGGTTATTATCGCGTACACATAATCGACCGAACAAGACGAATGACACGTGTGAGCTTAACAAACTGAATAAAGTTCTTCATAATCGATCCTAAAGTCGGACACCCTATATCCATATAAAATTTTAATAACCATAAAAATTTCATGACCACTGCAATTGCTTGTAGTTACCACCGTTTTCAGACTAATTATTATCATTATCATATTCATACAGCAACATTAATTACAATCGAGAAAGTACAGGGAGGTGAAAGGAGGACGAAGAATAGAAAAAAAAGGTAAATGTTATCAGTCCATTTTTTGTCAAATATAAAAATCCATTCTGTCGTCTTCGTTCTGTTCGAAGCTTCAAGATGTCGCTGTCGTCTGTCCGATGGTATATGGATCTAAGGAAAATTCTCACAGTCGCCTAGATTCGAGTCCCTCGACACGTGGAGCTGGTGGTCGTGTGTGACAGGAAGTATAGTATTTGCCAACGTGAAATCGTCGGAACATTAACAACTATATTTATCCGATCAATTTATTTCCAATGGGTAAGATTACATGTAAGCGAATGTAGACATCGTGACACCCGGTATACGATCCTTACCAGTCTACACTGTCCCTTCCCGCTCTTGTTAATACTTAATTTATAAGACGATCGGCGCTTCGGAGTGTGGGTTAGACGCCATGAGAAAGGCGAAATGGAAAGTGGCCAAGAAAGCACGGTGGAAGGAGAGAACGGGAACTGGGATTGAGGTACAAGGGAGACAGTCGTATACGTATGACTAAGAAAGAGGTAGAGAGAGAGAGAGAGAGAGAGAAATGAACTCTGGCATGAATTCAATGACAGCATAATAAAGCGTGTATGGGTCGTATACGTATGACTAAGAAAGAGGTAGAAGGCGAAATGGAAAGTGGCCAAGAAAGCACGGTGGAAGGAGAGAACGGGAACTGGGATTGAGGTACAAGGGAGACAGTCGTATACGTATGACTAAGAAAGAGGTAGAGAGAGAGAGAGAGAGAGAGAAATGAACTCTGGCATGAATTCAATGACAGCATAATAAAGCGTGTATGGTATGTCCGTTGGATTCCATGGCGCAAAACCATGGATTTTACAGAGCATTCGTATTCCCTGTAGCTTACGGCCTTCGAGTTCTCTTCGACATTAGTACTTTATGGCGCTCATTGTTCACCGCTGGATCTACGATAGGCGATTTTCATCCCCTGTGAATCGCAGGAAGCTGGAGAGACTATAGATAGTATCTGTCAATAATTCCTTGGTGATTTTATCATCTGGATATTAACGATCTTGGAATACATTAAGATAACGGAGCGTAGTTGAGTCTTTCGAGTTTAGCGTTTCGAAAAGTGTAATTTACAAAAAATAGTTTTGCACAACCTTTTGCTATGCTGGTTTCGCGTAACCAAAGCGTAAAGGAATTCTCGGTAGGAGAATATAGGTACCGACAGTGATCGTCCGTTTCTGTCTATCTAGTACTGATTTTCCAACAATAGAGCAACTTCGCCAAGTCGGCTCACACGTGTGTACGTGTTGGGAGGATGTGTTAACGCGGACGCATAGGAACGTCTTCACACGTATGAATGGAGCAACTTTCCGCGAGCGGAGTCGCTGCAATTGCTGCGCCTCGTGGCCCGACGTGTGAGAAGGAGAGAAGTGGATAGCGAGGATGGCCAAGAGAAGGAGACAGAAGGCTGCGAGGTGAAGGGTAGAGACACACAGTGGTACTAAAGGATGGAGTGGAGGAGGTGGAGGAAGCAGAGAGAAACGAAGGGCGATAGGGAGAGAATGCCTCGTACATAACGACGCACACAGGGCACGTAGGTGTACAGGTACGTGATTCTGATGCGAGTATAGGTGTGCCACCAGCCAGCCAGCCAGCCAGCCAGCCAGCCAGCCAGTAAGCTAGCTGGGCCAGGCTGCTTGCAAAGTGCAGTGAAAAGTATGGTGGTAAAAGAGGGAGGAAAGGGAGTCTGATGTGCGACCTTGTGCTGTCGAGCTCGTCGCCATTGTCCCGTGCGAAACGCCTCCATCAGAAAATCCAAAGTCTCGCTGTCGGCCGTACGTTGTCGTTGGAGCTGGAGGGAACGGATGAATGCAAGAATGAGAGAACGAAGAAGAGGCCCGAGGTTGTTTGGTGGAATAGAAGAAGTCAAAAGGACGAAGGGTTGTTTAGCGTTGGCTTTATAACTACGGAACGTCATGGATCGTCTAACGAGTTGGTACCTTTGACATTGCGAAGAATACGGTAAAGTAGGAATCTTGGGGGCTCTGGAATCGAGACACGATGAAGTTGGACGATCGGAGGTAAAATCGATCCCGTTCGATAACGAGATCGGGATTGACGTAATCCTTGGTGATAAAGGAGAAAATCCTTGGGAAGGATGAGGCAAGGAGCGTATGGCCCACTAATGCCGCCCTGTCAAAAACAATTTCTCCGATTGGTGGAACGCCGCTCGAGGAGGCCTGGTCCCATTTATTCACGGTACCCCGGTGCCGGCATAATAATCACAATATTTCAATGGAGTGGCGCACTTTAATAAGAGAATAAGGGAGTGTGACGGGGCCTGGAGTATGAATAAAGTAGAATATAATATGCGAGCGGTTGGGCCTGAAAGATGCATGGTGGGTAAAGGAGGGAGATAAGGCCCAAAACGGAGTAACGGAGAGAGGGTCCGCCGTGGCGGAGAACGCTGAGTAAGGATCGACGGGGGAAGAGAAAGGAAGGCCCAAGGAAGAGAAGGAGGTCTCGAGGTACCGGGGACCGATTATCATAATCGCGCGTCATAACTCTGCGGGCCCCACTACCACTCTATACCTTGTCCGGCGTCCAGCGAACCAGTGCTGTAAGGGAGGCTGAGAGGGATACGTACAGGCCCCGGGACGGGGACTACCGGGGTGTGTCATATAGAAAAGAAAAAGACACTACCGTCTCACGGTTAAGAATCACATCGAACAACCCTCGAATTTATTTCGAATAAATTCATTATTTAAATCGACGATCGGCTGCTGTCCCCCCGGTGCCGGGTATTGTCTCAGAAAATTGGTCCCGCATATGTTTATTGTCGGAACCTGCCCGAAGATCAGCGAAATTTCTCCCGATCGTTGAGGGCCCCTGGGACTATACACACCTACGGGCCCATTGCCTGCCTGTCTGCCTGCCTACCTACCTACCTGACTATACCTACCATACCGACAGGTACTATACATAAACCCGGGCATAAATTAGCAGAGTGCATTTTGATTTACTGCGTATATTCGGTTGTTCCGGAGTTCCTGGTATTCGCACAGGTCCCAGCGAATCGTGACGGCAGTAATGAAGTCCCTTTACGTCGAAACGAGTCGACGGGTTTAAAAGAATCGAATAATTCCAACCGTGCGATCCTAATCGCAAGGGGAAGGACAATTCAAATTGTAAGGCCCCGTCGAAACTCGTCTCATGACATTCGGGATCCATTGATCCCTCATTCGGGTTGCCCCAAGAATCTCCCCTGAGGTTTTACGTAGCAATTAAACTCAAAGACGCTCTCGAACCCTTAACTCCGTAGCAGAGTGTGGGCGGTACGATCAAGCCGTAAAGACGAGCACGATACGGCCCCGGAAATCACGATCCGTGGAATCGAGAGGACCCGAAGGTAATGGTCGAGCTTGCGAGGGACTTGCGTAACGCTATCAAACAGCCCCGTTGGGACTCGCCTGGTAGGCACGAGGAAAACTTCGAAATCACGGATGGCAGCGGCGAGTCGACTCCTCCTCCCACGATGCCCTCTATTAATTACGCGAACAGGACAATCATGAATCATCCCCTCGGATAGTTCTGTTTTCCTATATACCTGTACCTATACGTTCGCTCCCTAACGATCTCTTTCTCCTGTTCATTCTGTCTCTCGGCTTTCCATTTGTCAGACCGAGATTGTAATTATTTCAGCGATACGCCTGGCTACGTAAGGATGGACCTTGTATTCAGTCCTCCGGCCTCTTCCTTTACTATTGTCTCTTACGTCGTAAACAAGATATACACTACGCCTCGATTTTGATTAGTCCGCCAGTCCTCTTCTCGCACTTTTTCTTCACTCGTCCGTACCTCACTTGCAGTAGGGTTCTGTCGCACGACTATCCTATCGAAGCCGCCGAGGGCGGCGTACGATTACTCCTGCGTTGTACTATATATGTACTACACAGTACATACAGCGGGCCCACTTTGTCTCTTGAGAATTCAGATGCCTACATACCGCGGCCGCCCATCCTTCCATCCCACGTTGGACTCTTACGTACACCTTCACGCGAGCCATGCACACGTCTTGGACACGCATTCACTGGACACGCAATACCTGCGATGGCTACGAGTCCAGGATAAAACGAACAAGTTCTTTTTAAGTGAGAATAAAAATAATTATTTGATTATATTTTTCATTCGTCTTACCACTTATATTCATCGCGGAAGAGCTTCCGGAAGTGTAGATTCATTGAGAAATTTATTATTATCTTTAATTAATCTTGATTTTTGCCGATGTTTAATCTTTATTCATAACGACGTATTCGTTTGATTTGTTCGTGGAAAGATGTGAAAGTTTTAGATGAGGGACTTGATACGATTTCCTTTTTTTCGTTCGCTGACAAGCTGGGTGGAGGATTTTTTGTTTTTGTACTAACTTTGCGTACGCTCGCAGCCATTACTAGTCGCAGCGAAGAATAATATGAGAACTCGTATCGGTCGCCGCGAGGTTTGATGCACAGATAATCCCTGACTCGGGCCGAGTGAGTCCAAGACTCAAGAGTAGGTACCTACCTTATACCTTGTACCTTATACCTTCTACCTCCCCTCTCGGGACTCCGAGTCTTCCTCCTCTTTCTTAGGCTCTTTTCACAACATAAATCCCTCGCGTAATCGTCCATTGCCTCTTGGGGCCACCGATATCTCGCGCAAAAGCTCGAAACGATATCGCGAGGAGTTCGCGCTCGCAAACCGGGGACAAAGAAACTCGTTTGTCTTCTTTCCGAATTCGTCGTACCAAAGTAATTGTGTGCCCAGCTCGCGGGACTTGGGTTCACCGCGTCATAAAATATTTATCGAACATTTTGAGAACTAAGGAGACAAGTAATTACGAATTTCACGGGACAATTAACCGACTGAGAGACATCCGAAAGACGAAGGCTCAGGAATGTCGGAGTCAGTACCAAACGGAACCATCCGTGGAATCCTTGAAATATCCCTGTCACCAATGGGACTCGGTAAAGGGATCGTGACTAGTAAATATCGTAGACGCACAGTCAGAGGATGAGAAACGCACTGGCGGGCCTGTGGCATTCGCACGTAGAAGATATCTATGTAGTCAGTGTGAAGGGAGCCTAATTCTCGAGTCCTGGCGAGTCCCGCATTCCTATTTCCTCTATTGGTTTATTTTCCTCGGCCTCCGTGTGTCTCTATCTCCCATCTATATCTAGGTACCCACTCGACTGGGTCCGATCCGACAGTGCCCATCGTGCATGCGTACATTACGGCCACGCACTTAAAGTGCAACGTAAGGGCACACTTTGGAAATGTTATTAATGACGTGTATATTAAATTGTTACGAGGTAGCGCGATCACCGATCAACCTGTGTGTCCTGGCCATCGGAGAAATGGGTATGGGTTAGTCCTAGTTAGTCCTAGACAAGCCTAGTTACCGTCTGGTGACTATAGCCTACAGTAGTACCTAGACCTCCGTGCAGCTGACTCAAACATTCTCAGACTTACCAGTATCCATTGCTACCAGGGTCAGAGTGTATTCGGGTACCATCTCTCTGTCCAACGATCGTAAAAGAAAAATGTCACCGGTACTGGCGTTTATACGAAAGAGGTCCGTGTCGCCCTCCTTGAGGAAGTAGCGCACCTGGTCGTTGTAGGGTGGTGTATCGGCGTCGTAGGCCTTGACCTATTGAATGCCAAAGAAGAAGACAGGTGGAATGACGAGTAAAAGCTTGTGTCTTACTGAACTCCTCGTTAGTAGCGACTAATTAGCGATCAATGATTACCTGTATGACGAATCCTCCGCCGGGCGGTACCATGTTCTCCATGACGTGGGCGAGATAAGGCGAGTCCAGGAAAACCGGCGCGTTGTCATTTATGTCTAGGACGGAAATGGTCACTTCGGATGTGTCGTGACGGGAGGTCCCACCAATTTCCGGGGCGCAATCCTCGCCCCTCACTGTCAAATGGTATCTTGCTTTGCGTTCGAAATTTAAATTCTTCGCTACACGAATCACGCCGCCATCCTCTGAGATCGTGAAATCTCGGTTCTCGTCGCCTGCTGCGATGCTGTATCGTACTCGGCCGTTGGCTCCTTCGTCACGGTCAGTCGCTGAAACCTAGAACGGAACGAATCTTTCAAAAAACCTTTGCATCCTCTTCACTTATAATTAGAATCTGATCGGTAGGTGACCCATCGATTTCTAGAAACTATCTGAGCACGTGGACCAATCGATGAATTAAATTTAGCAAAGAAGTATTTATGTACCTGAAGAACGCTGGCGCCGATACTAGCATTTTCAGCGACGGTCGCAGAGTATTGACGTGGATCGAATACGGGTGAATTGTCATTCTCGTCCAGGACTATCACGAGGACGGTACTCGATGATGATTTCGGTGGTTCGCCTCTGTCTTTAGCCGTCACCTCCAGTGTGTAATTAGGCTTGTGCTCTCTGTCCAGTGATCCGGAAACGCGTAAGAGCCCATCGACGGCACCCAGGGTGAACGGAAGTGTATTGCCTTCCAACGAATACTCCACGTAGCCGTTGCGTCCTTCGTCCCTGTCTATGGCCTTTATAGCCATGACTACCGTATTCGATTGTGTATTCTCCATGATGGACGTTTGATTCGGTGAAATGAATTCGGGCGATACGTCGTTTACATCAAGCAGGGCTACCGTTACCTTGAATAAAAGTATAGCATTCTTCAAGATGAAGTTTCTTTGGAGTCACCACGGTGCCAGGTCGATCGATCGAATTGTCGAAGGGATCCGTGAAAAATGAGGATATCTTTTTATTACCAAGAATATTCTTACCTGCACTGTGGACGATAGCGGACGTGATGGCGGCTCAGGACTGTCGGTCGCGCTCAGTATTAAATTGTACAAAGGTTTAACTTCTCGGTCGAGAAGTTTTCTGGTGAAGACAGTTCCATTTGGTGCAACACCGAAGTCCTCGTTTTCATCACCACCAGCGATCGCGTATACCACTCTACCGTTGTCCCCGGAATCAAGATCCTGAGCCGTTACAGATAACACAGCAGTACCGATGGTAGCGTTCTCCAAGATTTCAGCAGCATGCGGTCCAGGCTCGAAAACTGGAGTATTGTCATTCAAGTCGACCACGTTACAATAAACCGTCACTGTCGATGACAGTGCTGGAATACCTCCATCGGTAGCTTGTACCACCAGAATGTAATGCTGCACCTAAAAACAAAAAATTTTTTGATTAAACTCAAAATTAACGATTTTCACGCAGATTCCTATGACAATAAATTCTTTAATTTCCTTCAACAATTTAAATATCAACAAATATTTCTTACGGATGTCTATTGTATACAATTTTTTTTTTCAACACCCCACTCATGAATTGCCCGTTGTTCAATTTACGTAAAATATAGAATTCTAGCTTTCCCACCTTCCAGCATCGTGCCTTATTCCTCATTTGTATCTGCGAATCGCTCGTTAGTCCTAGACTTGTCGGAAGTACCCTGTACGTAGTCGAAACAATGCAATTTCCCGCACGCACCTTTTTCGCGCTTACAAAATCCCAACAGCTGCGCATCGAGACATTCCAATGCGTAGAACTTTGAGTTCCTTAAACTTCGACCGCGCGCATGCATATAGTACGTATATATTCTCGTTGACAAGAGAATTGTTCAATGTGGACTATCGTCCGATCGTGTTTGGCATTTCTGCGTGTTCGGCTCGCCCACGGTACTAGGTTCATTCGTGCTGTAAGAATCATGGTCCTCGTGGGTAACGGCAAATGTTAAAATCTGGATTTTACGTTGAATTCATATCGTATACACTGCATTATATTTGCATCAACTGTCACGTGCTGCATAGTGAGAGAATATACATTGTTATACCATACATCTGTATACGGAGTACGTATTATAAAAATCGTATGGGTATTACGCAGCTATGTACAGCATTACGATGTTTCGAGGAATATGAGACTTTTTTTTTTAAATAGTTGGCATTTATCTTATTATGTTATTACACTGATACTGTACATGGTAATTAGACGGATAGAGTCTCTCTATGATATAAACGACCTTGTTACTACACGTGTCATATAGACGATGCCCTGAATGTGTACCGGTTACATTTTTAAAATCCTCGCAAACTTCTCAGTAAGTCTAACCAGAGTATTCTAGATCCCTGTATTCGTAATTCTTAACGAGAAATTTTCTTAATTAAATTAGCCTCAAATGAGAGACGTAGTCGCTACAAGAAGTCATAATGAAAGTCGTCGAATTTGTCTCGTAAGTTTATTTACTCCATAAATCAGTCGAATCTACAGTGAGATTGTAGCATCTGTCCCGAGATTCATGAAGATACGCGACATCAATATGTTTTAGAAAGTCGATGAATCACGTTAACAAATAGTAGCCTAATTTTGGTATAACAGGTAAGGATCGAGAATCTGAAAAGATTCCGAAATACCGAACGATACCGTGTCCTTACCAAATAACAGTTATACCTATCGGTACCAATTACCGATATAAGATTATACAATATCCAAAAAGCCTTTGGATATCCGTATTACGGAATTCAACATTAGGCTACGTAGGTAACCGGTACTATTTTTCAACTTTAGTTATCAAACTATTATCAAGAATAACAAATCGTTATCGTGAATGAAATTCGACAGCGAAAGATACATTGGATACTATATCATTAGCCCGTAGATGCACTGTACCATGCGCTATAGTATAATCAACATACAGTTTCGTATAAGCCGCCAGGACTGCTACAGGGGTATCTCTAATTGGTGTGATCTTCAGGGCTGGGCAGGAAAATTAGGGGTGGCTGGCATCAGTTGGACGAAGGGATTCCCGCCGAAGGGTTGACTAACCCTTTAGCACCATGCAGACGTCGGACGGGACTGGATGATAGTAATTGCTACTCGAGGACGATTCTCGAATCGTTTAGTTCGTGTATAGCGGCGCACTTCGCGTTAGTCATCGTTACGCTAATCCGTACCGAGGAATCCGACGAGTGTACCTAATCGGCACGTGGACCGGTTACCGAGGTCTCGTTAAGAGTCGGGCCTTTCCAAAAAGGCTTCCATTACCGTTCTCCGATGTAGTTATTGGTGGAGCCGATTTCCGCCGTGAAAGCTAAAGAACTGCAAAAGGAGCAAAGGACTACTAACGGGCCACGTAGTATACCCGCTGGTAAAGCGTGTCTACGTGTTGATCGGTATTGACTTTTTTATCCTCCTCAGCTCTGGTAACGATACCATATATACATATAACAATGTATGCACCATGTGACCGTACATGTTTGACGTGTGGTTGAGATCTTATTGAACAAGGAAATATAATATTTGAGCAGTGGGTCAAAGGTCAAATTGAAATTAAACAAATGTAACGCAACGCGAAGATTTAACGGCGGAATATAAATTGGTGATAGCCACGAAGAAGACGGTCACATGTGAGAATTCGAGAGCGAGAACGGTCGGGTTGCTGTCCGTTAACTAACCCTTTGAACTCTATACTTAAGTGAAGTTCTTGCGGAACGATTTTAGGACGGACTGTATCATTTCTGCGTTTCCATTGGCTTTGGATATGTTTATAGTCTATACTTTTTGTTTACGCTTATGTTCGTCGTGTATACCTATATATGTATGCCGTATGGGCATACCGTATGGGTATATGCGAGTTTCGGAGCTGGGTAATAATCTTGGCGTGTATCTCGAAGGGCGTTTAGGTTGATGAAGGGTTCTATAAACGGCCTTCTGGCCCATGTCTCCTCCTTTCTCCGTTCCACCATTCCCTTCAACGTTTCTTCCGTTGATGGTATTTTTCCAGGGGACGGCTATAGTCCAATACCGCGGTATAACCGCTATGCGTGTCTACGCTCCGATCCTCTTCGTCTCCCTCTTAATCTACGGCTAGCGTCATCTTCGTTCGGATAGAAAGACTCCTTTCATCTACCTCCGATACGCACCTCTAACTCAGCCATCCTGAAATCCAGTCTTGTCTCCGAAGCGCAGCGCAAGCCTGGCATTAAGCTGCGTCCGTCGAGCTGTCTGTCTGTGTCAGACTGAAATTTTAAAATTTGGAGCTGGGTCGCTGTGAGGCAGACCACAGATGCATCTCGAGGCTTCGCTCACGGCGTTATCGTCGCCCTAGCCGGTTAAGAGTTTTAACCTGAACCTCAAACCGGCCGATCCGATCATCCTCGAGTCACTGGGGATCGGCATGATCGCTATACCGATGTTTAACTCTGTTTTCCGGTAGATAGAATTATAGCTTCTGAAGATGAGGCATTGTGCCGACGGCGTACGGCGCATGCAGATACAGTGCATTGAAATACTCGCGGAACCGACTCCTAGTATGGATTTAGCCAGGTACAGCGGCAGCTAGAGACGCGCTGAATACGAGTGATCACCGATTTTCAAGCTGATGACAAGAGGCACGACAGGTTCCCATAGGCGGCTGTGGACGGAGCTCCTGGCGGGGAGTCCTACGCTGCCGCCGTACGCCAAGCGTAAATCGGCAGGAACGTCGCGATCGCGTGTCTTCCCTCCCGCGGTAAGATAAATACTCAAGCGGATAAATAAGGGACACCGACCTGTTCGTAGTCGAGGCTGGCAGTGAGCGTGAATACTCCTGTGCTGGGATTCAGGGAGAATACGTCGTTCGCCCAGTCGGATATCAGAGCATAGCTCAATTGACTGTTTGCACCCTCCGCATCGGCATCCGTAGCTACGACTTGGCCAACTCGACTGCCTCTAGGTGCATTCTCAGCGATGTCGAAGGAATAGGCCGTGGCTTGAAAGGCAGGCGCATTGTCGTTGGTGTCTGTTACCTGAAACACGAGACAAAAGCAACGGTCAGTGTCTATTACGGGAATCTTTGGTAGATGCGTTAAACTGTGTGAACGTGGCTTTATGGTTCGGCACGATATAAAGGATCGCCCAATCAAATTAAAGATCGAACGGCATTCCGATTTTGGTGATCGGGGACGTCTAGGGTCTTGAGGTGGATTTGTGGTGCGGATCAGGAGGAGAGCTTGAGGAGGCTGAAGATGCAAAAACTAGTAGTCACTTGGGACGAGGGGAGCGGGGAGTGGCTGGGTGCAGGGGATTGATGGTCGGTATAAGGGGTGAGTGAAGGAATGGGGGAAAAAGGTCGAACGACGGAATGAAAGAGTGAAAGGAGAGAGAAAAAGACGGGGAACGGACGAAGAAAGATTCCGCGACTGTCCACGGACCCGAGGAGCAAACTATGATCGGACTGGAATTCCTTCTGCCTTTAAGAGGGCTGAGACTTCTCTGACGGACAATGCCAGAGTGAGCTTTAAAAGAATTCCTTCCGTTAATGAAGTGTCATAAAGACAACTTTTGTGGTTGCTCGAAAGGACCCAATCCCGGGGCCCCTCGTTAAACGAAGGTACTGTTTTTATTGCGCTATTGCTACGGATACTCGTAATGAATTACAAGCCGGACAGTCATTGGAGCAAGACCCAAACTAACAATTGTCACAGACGTGGGCTCTATCGGGTTCTTCTGGCACTACGAGATACCAATCGCGAGACGTTTTACAATTGGGAATTGTATCGGAATGAGATTTAAAGAGAAAGAGAAAAAGAAAAAAATTCGTGATCCAAAAGAGAATTCGTGGAGGTCGATCGTTCGAGGACAAAGGGGCTGATTGTTCTTGACGATGGTACCGGAACAGTGACGGGTACCGACCGAGTCGACCCACGCGCATGCGCCTGGGGCTAAGAGGTCATCTGCAACTTCCTGCTCTATCCCTTGTCCATTGGTCAATGCTATCCTGAATGCGCTAAGCATGGTCGTTCCGCGATCTGAGGCTATTTCTCTTCATCGATTACATCCTTCGGCAGTCGAAGTGGATGGATCGGTCTTCGTTTTATGAAATACGTGAATAATGGCTACACGGATGGTTCGTTACGCGAGAAATTTGAGTCTGATAATTGCAAAAGCGTAATGAGTCCGAGACACGCAAATAGAATGAAAACGTATTTAATACGCGTCTGGCTGTATTGGCAGAGTCAGTCGAGGTGGCAATGTACGCGTGCGCTAGAACACTTTGTGAGCAAGACTCACGATTTAACAGTTTATTGTTTATTACCCAATTACCGATATCGCGACGTAACGATCGAAGGACACGTAAGGCGCAAATAAATGAATTGGTAGCATGTACCGCTAGGAATTTATCGGCGATTTGCGTCTTAAGGCGTTATAATGGAAACTGCATCAAGCCTTGGCAATGTGATACAGCTTTGGACGTAGCGGTGTATATCTTTTAAATTAATGACAAATAAATAAGAAAACCCACCAGTATCGTTAGAGTGATATCCGTATGCTGAACTCCGTCGTCGGCTCTTACTCGTAAAGTATACTTTTCTCTAGTTTCTCTGTCGAGGGCTTCGGCCAGTCTCAGTTGTCCCGTGGCAGGATCAAGACTGAACTGACTCTCCACTTCGTTATCGGTAGCGTTGTCCTCGTCCGGTAGGCTTGACTTTGGATTCGGTACCAGGGTGTATCTGAGGCTACCTATGGTGTCAGGATCAAAAGCCCTGAGGGCCGCGACCAGCGTGCTGGGTGGCGCCTCTTCGGAAACCTTGAATTTCCAGGGTCCTGAGCCCCAACTTGGCGGCACGTCGTTCTTGTCCAAAACCGTCACACGGACCTGAAATCAAAAGACATTCATCGGTCATAAGATGCCCAATAACCGGACGTGCGACCACTTTTTGTCGGTATCGACTGCTCTCCAAATATGTGTGGTCGTCGGGCTCCGATATCGGCGAATCGTAAAGGTACGCCGAACAACCGAGAGCGGCTTTCCCTGGAGAGGTCGAGCGACAGTCTATGGTAAAAGGACAAGAGAGGCCCTAAAGGGCATACTGCAAAAAGCATCGAATCAGGGGACCGTCCTGTAAAAATATTATATTTTTTGGTCTCTCTAAAGATTCAGGATTCAGCGTTATCAATCTTATCGAAATATCGCAAAGCGACAGGTCGTCCCTGGTGAATAAGGAAAAAGAATAACGCAAGGTGGACCTTAGCCATGGGGGAGCCAGGTCCTCGTGTAGAGGCATAGTTAGCGTTCTATTAGGTGGATGGAGCAGGCATGCACGAGCCTCTTCCAAGAATGGGCCCCTCTCGAGCCTAGACAGCTCTAGGAAGAAGACACTTGTTACCTTCTTGAGCAACCTGAGGAACGACTCTCGAAAAGACTAGAGCCACGGAGCAGTAAGAGAGACGGGCAAGAGAAATTATGAAAGGGAATGACGATCAATTGGTGAAGTCAGTAGGGGACCCCGTATTCTGGACCACGGTATAGAGTCAAGGTTTGATTCCTGATCCCCAGAAAGGGACCATAGAGGCGTACCGTCACGAAAATAAGATAAGTTAGGACATCCATGGAATTTCTGTGGAACGCCGAGTGGAATTTCACAAGATGATTTTCCTGCTGGTACCAACTGCGTTTCTCTCTGATTTACCGAAGAGATCAGATACACGTTGTTCGGTATACTCTCTGTCTGTTTTCTTGTTCCTCTCTTTTATTCCTTTTATTTATCTTTCACCAAGAGAAGGTCATTAACCGTACAGGGTGTAGAGGGTATACATACAAGTACAGAGAAATAAAACGTTCAGAGCCGATCTATGAACGCGACATAAATCTTAGCCTGGTGTCGCCGAAGGATGGAGACTTTTTGAAAAAGTTTTCTCACGAGATGGAGCCACCGATTAGGATTCCCCGTTCGCCCATCATCTCGATCTCTTGCTTTTATTAAATCGCATTCTAATCGGTCGATTAGTACACGGTACCTCAGTTGTCAACGTTTCGCGCGTGATACGAATTTTCGCTTGGTTCTCAGATCTGTATATACTTACGTACGCACATATCGGTACCGTACAGCCGCTACTACCTCTACCCGACTTCACTATCCGATCGCGTCCCCTTAGGCACGCAAGATTTATTTCTTTACCCACGCCTTCTTTTGCTCCCATAGACGTCACGATCGAACGACGCTCTCGCAAAGACCCGCGAAATTCAAGCGACCGTTTGCTCGGCCGACCGGCAAAGTTCATCGTCGCTGTGGGGTCCGCCCTTGCTAAATCCAACGACTGTTTCGCTTCATCTACCATATCTAACGGGATCTGCTCTTCGTGATGTTGAACTCGCGTAATGGGAAATGACGCTTGGTTGGTGATACGATCTAGCAGTATCCAAAAGGTAATAGAGGTAACGACCAGAGACGTACAGGAAAATGTGGAAGAATTCAAGTTCAACTTAAAGACCAAGAATCCTTTGACTTTAATTGATCGATGAAACTTGATACTTATTATGAAATCGGTACAAAACCAGCCAACTATCATAAGCTTAAGGTATCTGTATACTGGGAGAACCAGTCTTTCGTTCGAAAAGAGTATGATCCCTTGGGACTTCCGGTGCTGGTGGACTACATGGCAATGAAGACCTTGATCACGGCGCGTGCGACCTTTGGCAGAGAAGTGGAAAGAGAGAAAGAAAAAAAAAAATGAAAAACAAAATGGAATTTTGTCATGTGGGAGGGTATCTTTCTGTCGGGTAGGTATGGGAGCCGATCGCTCCTGTATCGGAGCACGTGTGAGAGTGCCGCGAGAGTATGTGAGCATATGTACGTAAGATGGTATTCCGAGTGAAGATGCGTGCAACCACGAGCACTGTTACAGGAACGAGTGTCACCTGCTTGGGCTGTACGAAACCAGTTTGCCATTAGACACTGATCGCATCGGATCTTCAAAATCGATCTGGGCAAGATTTTGACGAGTCTCCGAATCGAGTAATGAATTTCGATCGTTACCAATTTGAATATTTTTTTTTTCCGAGAGAATTTTTAATGGCGTTTCTCTAATTTACCGGCCGAATATATCGATTTCACACTCGTAAGCTGTGTGACGCCTAATCGTATTTCAAGTACTGTTGATTTGTTGTGATATCTTATGAATATTAAGTGTTTGCGAACGCTTTAATGGGACGTTGGTCGTTGAGGAATGGAGACCTTGTATTCGATAGATTTATCATCCCGTAGTAGGGGTATCGTGGGAGAGTTCACTTTTCGGTGTCACCTACGCGCTAAGAATTTCATTACCTCGCGTACTTCTTCTTCCTGTCTCATGAACATTTCAGCGTGAACGACTCTGACAACTCCGTCGAATCTTATGAATAAACCGTGCCGAATGAGCACATCTTCGCTCGGCATAAGTACCCCGGTGTATGTTACGGAAAAATTGTTACCCAATTATTCTTGGACTTCTCGTACAATGCTATTCCACGTATTTGGTTTCAGGAACGTGGATGGATTTATTCCTTCATTTTTTTTTACACTACGAATCGTTCAGACAATATCCCCGTGTCCGCCTGACGTACAGTGGAGATCAGTTGGAATGTATGAATTCTGGTTCGATGTGAAAATTATGTGATAACTGTAAAAGTAAGAAAGTGCATCCGGTTGTACCATTCAAGGATTCGATCTTGCCGAGTAACAGATCTTGAATCGCGAAAACAGGTGTATGGCGCGAGTGGAGGTAAAAGAGAGTGAGAGTAGAGAGGATCGAAGGTTCACGTGACGGCGGTAAAGCATGATACGATTTAAGGAAGCGAGTAAAAAAAATTGTATAAAATCGAAGGGAAATAAAAAGGAATAAAAACGGAACAAGATCGAAGGAAAAGGGGAACGCGTAATCTTTTAGGAGTTGGGCCCCGATTCGAAAGATTGGTCTGGCCCGAGGTCGAGTGATCGCCGAGGAGCGTGCGAGTGAGAGTAGCGCCGAGTAGAGTAGAGCGAGCTGGAAGATCGAGGGGATAGCGTGGTTCGGGCCCGAGGGCCCAGGAGCCCTGTGTGAAGGGCACAAGAGCGGCAAGGCGGACTTGAGGGGAGCCCAGACCGCTTATCCGATCAAACATGATCGTACAAATAGAGAAGCACTCGTGTCAAGTCCGAACCTAGCGCCATCTTTATCGGGAAGCTCGTGGGCCTCTTTTCTTGTTTGGAACAGGCGGTGGTCACCGGGCCCGGTATGTAGGTACTACTCTACGGCTGCCCGGTAATCCGAATAGCATCCAATCTCCGTCGTTCAGACCCTGAACGGATCCCTTTTCGGTCTCCGAATGTTAGCCACGACCGTTGGGATCGTGCCTGGGCCTGTCATGGAACTTTCAAAGGGCCTCATCTCTGATCGCGTAGTCAGCCAAATGAACGGACCCGAAGGGAGACCGAGCTGGATGATATTTGGCCGTGGTGGATTTTTTGAAAACGATGAAGAGGGTTTCTACCCTCCGATACGACGAAAACAAAGACTGATCAAACCGCAAATTTTTTCTTTAATCTTTCGAAATTCCTTGAAACCTTTGAAGACCAATTTTTTTTCTGACACTCGTTTAAAAGGAGAATTAACATTTTTGGTATCTTATCGCATTCTACACAGAGCAGATGCCAATCTCAAGGTATAAAAGTAGATTAAAAATCATATCTATATGGACTGAAAAAAATCTTTGTCGTGAGGTTATCTTATCTCCCTTGAATGATCGACGAGAAGGGATCGAGAATCGAGTACCGATCGAGGTGGAGTCCACGTTGCTTAATCGCAATTATAAACTCATCAAAGCTTCGAGCGGTACCGCAGAGACTCGTAACCTTTGCCAGTCTAAATTGAACCAGAGATCATCTGCTGGTTTAGTATAGAAATTCCACAGAGGATCCTCACCCCTCTCTAGCCATAAGACGACCATCCTCTTTCATCTTCCTAGTTTTATCCCTCTTTGACTTATCGATATATTCCTCCCTTCGACAGCCCCCGTCCACAAGCCCATGTTGATTTAGGATCTCTGCACACGAGTTTCTCAAGTATCGATCAGCGATCGTTTTGTTACCGATCGGCACAGACACGTGGTATCGATCCTGAGTAAAATCAAACGATTTCTGTGAAAGATCGATTCGTCGCCATTTAAGAGGAAGTCAGTCCGCACACATAGTATCTCCTGGGAGTCCATGCTCGCACCTGTCCATCCTACCGGCCGCTGGTAACCTACAGTGAAACAAGTTGGACCCGCTCCGTAGTTCTGGGCCTTTCTTACTCGTCTAACCCTGCTAAGAGAAGAGAGAAAAAAAGAAGAAAAAAAAATATAAAAAAAAGAGCAGTTCATCTTCAAAAGGAAACGACCGACATTTTTTACGTGGTTAAAATCGCTGGGAATTCTAAAGAAGAGCGAGATGAAAAAAAAAAGAGAAAAATGACAGGTTGCAAAATCCCAAGAGGAAATGAGAGTGGATTGTCGTGGAACGGAGCAGAGAATGGAAGTAGAATGACGCCGATAAGGAGAAAGGATACGATAATAATGACCAATGGGACAAATGGATACGGTCGGTCCTCTTTGGTAAGTAAGTGTACATATATCGTGTTGGTATATATACACCGTGGGGAATGTATGTATACATACAGTTACTATCCCGTAGGAGAAGGGACCGTAGGGCCCCGTTTGGAGAGCAAGGAAAGATGGTATCTGCGTCAGCTCGGTCGGGGATCAGCGGATCGGATCGAGTCGCTCAGCAGGGGTTTCTTTGGGTCATGCACGAAGTGAGTCCCATTCTTCCCCCTCCAGAGTACCGGTCCCCACGGGGTCCCGTGGGTTCTCTATGAGGG